CTGTTGCTAACAACCCTCCATGTGGATCTCCATTTCTGTGGTTCTATTCCTGTTCTAGTTGTTTGCTTAGTTTGTTTTTGTTTTTGTTTTAGGTGTGGTTGCTAATAATTTTGAGTTTGCTTTGTGTTGAAGAGCTGGTTATTATGCCCTAGTTACTACTTCACCTTAAGATCACCTAGTAAGCAGTAAATACCTTCTCTATGAAACAAACAAACAAAAATAGTTCCTAACAGATTTGGAAACCTTGTGCATTGCTTTCTCTGGTAGAATAATTTTCCTAAAATTAAAAAAAAAAACTTTTTAAAACACTGCTCTCACATATTAAACTTCCAAGGAAATTAAAGAAAGAAAAAAGGGGGGAACTATATATATATATATAGTTAATATGTATATATATATATACATATTAACACATAACAGAGTGTTTCTCACCTAGCTGAAAAGTACACTGTGAAGGCCAGGTGGTGCTTAACTTCTTTTTAGCAAGGGCACAGCTGATCAAACCACACAGCACTCAGCAGCCCCAGCCTCCAGCCCCCTTGGTGTTCCCTTGGCTTCCAGCCACTGGACTCATTTCCACCCGTCATTTGCAGGATGCCTCTCTACAGCCATATGGACCAAGAGGATGAGTCATCTGTCATCCAGAATTTTTCTCTTGACCTTTCCACACTCAATCACCTTTCACACACTCAACAGGCACATCGTCTGCGGAGCATGTGCCCTGCACCTAGGGAGTTTAAGGCTGAACATGGAACTCAGCGTTCCTGACACTCCTCACTTTGCCAGATGGGTGTATTCCAGAGCTTTAAAGAAAAATCAAAACTCAAAAAGTGACCAGATGGGCGTTCAAGGAGAAACACATACAAACTCAGTTAGGAGACTGACGTACTTCATTAAAAACAGGCCCACGATGTAAAAGAACTTCGGTTATTTACCCCAAGAAGAAAAGTTGTGGCAAAAGCAAAGCACTGAAAAGATACATAAAACAATCCATAACTGAAACTGACTTTTCAACGTTGCATAGTTAAATGTTTTCAAAACAACTTTTGAACTTAATTCTTTTACGCAGTCACCAAGAAAAAAAATAAAGATCTGCACATCATGTAAAACAAATGACAGAACCTCATACTTCATAGCACTTACAATATGCAAGCATTCTCTTAAGCACTTTGCATACAGTCACTCACTGGATCCTTACGAGCCCTTTTCTGACCCCTGTTTCCCATCAGGAACAGGATGCACAGAGGTAAGGTGTCTGGCCCAAGGTCACACACACTGCCTGTAAGTGGCAGCACCGAGATTCAAAGTGGGCAGTCTGGCACTACCTGGGATTAGTTACTATTAGACTAACCACCTTCCCCAGAATGTGGAACATAGATGATCACTTTTTAAAACAGATTTTTAAATTTACTTTAAAAACCTCACTTCGTAAGTTGAGAAGCCTTACAATGAAAGAATTTAAACTCGGAAAATTTGTTAGGTGGTGGCAAAGCCGAAGTTGTTCAGCCATGGCCAACAGCTACCCAGGAACTATCGAAGGGCTCACGTTTGAAAATGAAATGTGTAAAATCTGGAGAAATCAACCTGGCTGAACAAGTGTAGGGAAGGTGGTAATAGCCAAAAAACACAACAGGCTTGGAAGACAGTAAAAGAAAACCCAGGACTGTGGTACCTAATGTCAGTCATGGTCCTGTCCATTCTTCCTGCTCAACTGTTCCCTCCCAGATCCTCTCCATCTTCCATCAAACTGCTATTGTTTACATTCAGACTTTCAACTGTTCCACCAATCTCTTACCTGGCTTCTTGTCACCACCGCCTCCCTGCCCCCAGCACCTAATCTCCCCTCTGCTGTGAAGCAGAGAGTCTTTCTGAGACACAAATCTGAGCATGTCATGCCCCTACTTAACACGTCTTCAGTGGTCCCGACAGCCAACCATTTCCAGTTCCACCATCTCTGTGTGTATCAAATACCAACCCCTCCAGGATTTCTCTTGCCACCTCCTGCCTGTGAGCCCTGCAAATACGAGGCTATCATTCCTCTCTTACCCTGTTCACACTGCTCCTCTGCTGAGAAAAAATCTTCCTTCCCAAGTTATTTATCACCCTACAAAACATCTCTTCTTTACCTCTTTTCCAAAAGTTGTCCAGTCCTTCCTGCCTCCAACACACCATGATTTTCTCCTGGAGGTCCTCAGGGCACCACATACACATACTTCTATTATACTTCAGTGATTGATTTTTTACATACCTGACTCCCCTACTAATAAGTCCTTAAAGAATAGCGACAATGTCTTACTTTTTTAAACCTCCTCACCCAAGGATGTCTTTTTTATTTGAGAGACACAGAGAGAAATATTGATGTGAGAAACTTCAATTTATTGCCTCCTATACATGCCTTGACCAGGGATCAAACCCACAACATTTTGGTGCATAGGATTACGCTCCAACCAACTGAGCCACCTTCCGAGTGTGGCAATGTCTTACCATTTTATCAACAGCACTTAATAGGTTCTGACACACAGAAGACGCTTTATTCATTATTGCCAATGAATAAACACATGTCTTCCACAAGCCATCGCAGCCTTTCTTTTAACAAGTTTTCAATTCAGTCCATTGGTTCCCTCTAGCCCTATGAGAAGACAGTTCCAAATTTTTTAAATGGGAGTTACTCTAATAAGATATGGTCTACTTTATAGTCGACTTTTGAGAACACCTACAAACTGAGTAACACGTTGAATAATAGTTCACAAAGAATGCTCCACAGAACAAATCCTGGCGGTTCAGAAAATACTTCATGATATCTCCTTCAGTGAAGTATTAAATCACATTATTGTATTAAATGTTTGACAAAAATCCTAATGTAAAGAAAACTGATTAACTTCGGCACTTATTAACTTTGGGCAGGTAACTGAACCCCACTTTGTCTCAGTTTTCTCATCTATTAACTGTGGATAACAGTACCCACTTCATACAGTTATATAGAGGTTGGATGAGATAATATCAAGTGTTCAGAATGATTCTTGACACACAGTATGTTTTTGTAATTTTTAATGTTTAAATTGACATTTTTCTAAACATATTTGAACACAAAGTCTGTTTTGTGATCTAGCAATTATAAACATTGCATACTATACACTTTGAGAAACACTGATATAGAATAAATACTCCACCCTATTAGTCCTTCTGGCAATTCATGACTCCAGATTTTAGCACAAATATAGGCAATCTGATAGTTTAAATGTAGGACAATTCCTCCGGTTTCTCTGTGGCTGGCAAACATCAAGGTTTCAACTGTCACAGCTTCCTGAGACTTTAGTTTCACCAAATTAAGACAGAAATGAGTGCACTGTGTGAACTAAAGAAAAACTGCTCAGCACTGGGAAAAAGTCTATTACAGCTAAGTCTGTCACATTTTTTGTTCATAAAAAGCAGTATGTTCATCAAGTTTCTATTTTCTTTGCACTAAAGAATCTTGTTGCTTAGTAAGACAAAGAATCCACCCAGTCTATCTTTTTCCTTTGGTCAATCAAAAGATTTATAGCCCTGGCTGGTGTAGCTCAGTGAATTGAGCGCATGCTGCAAACCAAAGAGACCAGTTCAACTCCCAGTCAGGGCACAGGCCTGGGTTGCAGGCCAGGTCCCCAGTGGGGGCATGTGAGAGGCAACCACACATTGATGTTTCTCTCTTTCCTCCCTCCCTTTCCCTCTCTGTAAAAATAAATAAATAAAATCTTTAAAAAACAAAAAAAAAGATTTATACCAGGTAAACCGAAAGTAGAAGATTCTGAATTTTAGCTTGCTGAGCTACAAAATTGTGCAATATTTTGTGTGTGAGCCTCTGTATGCATTTTCTTGGGTGAAATATCATAGTTGTCATCAAGGGATCCATAATGCCTAAAAAGGATAGGAACCACTGGGCTTTTAAATCAGGTACGTATCAGGTACTGTTTAAATACATATTAAAACTCAAACGGCATCAAAGGGCATGTATGGTCAAAGGTAGGTCTCTCTCCCAACCCTAATCTTTACCCAGAGTCGAACACTGTTATCAGTTTTTTATATCCTTCCAAAGATAAGTTACGCAGGTATTTATAAGTATATATGGTAATGTTAGATCACAAGTGGCAAACATAAGGCCCACGCGCCAAATCCGGCCCTCTGTCTTGTTTTATCCAGCTCAGAACCTTGTTTCTATCCAGCGGTAGTGCTGTGCTCTCCCTTAACTGTTATGGAGTTGTTACATTTATAAAGTCCTGAAATTACATTCGGCCCTTTCGGCCCTTGGAAGGCAACTGCAAGGCTGATGTGGCCCCCCGTGAAAATGAGTTTGATACCCTGTATTATTCCAGTCCTCCATTTTTCACATACATAATAATGCATGATACACACTAAACTGCCACCAGGTTTGTTTAATTGGCGATTTATCTTGAGATCTAGCCCTATTAACACACAGGTACAGATTATTTGGTTAATGAACATATAAAAATTTAAAGCATGCCTATGATAGACACTTAGGTTGTTACCAATGTCTTGCTATTTATAAATAATACTGAAAATTAACATTCTTGAAGCTATATCTTTAGGCAAGAAATCCAGCACAGAATTGCTGAAAAGTATGAAGCCTTCTAAGCTGCCCTCCAAGGGTTGCCCATTTTATACTCTCCAAAGTACTTATTTCCTGCATACTCCACAAAAGACTTTGTCTTTGTTAATCTGACAGGTGAAAATGATAACTAATGGTTTTAATTTGTGTGGCCTATTGCACGAAAGAACCTCTGATTTCAGATGTTACACTTAACAACAACTTAGTCATGGAAACAAAAGGCATCATCAAAACTGGAGCAATAACAGAATTCAATAAAGGACAAACTCTTTGCAGAAATCCAGCTTTGCCCTGGCTGGATTTCTCAGCTTAGCCCACTGAGAAATCCATCATTCAGTGGACTGAGCAATGACCTTTGAAACAGCAGAAACCCAGCTGACCCACAGGTCGAACTCACCATCTAGTAGCCAGTGCTGATTGCGCCTGTTCTCCAGCTCTGACATCATCAGGCGTGTGATCACGTGATCTGGAACCAAAAGTCCTTTCTCTATGTACTGCTTTGCCATCCCACCAACTTCTATTAAAAAGACAGGAAAAAAGAGACACTCAAAAAAAGCTTCAAAAAGCTCAAAAAAAAAGAGACACTCAAAAAATAAAGCTTATAAACTCTTTTTTCTGACAGTTTTCCCTTCTCTCCAATTTTTCCCTGTTGTTTATGGGGGGAAGTTATAAATAGGTATTTTCTGAGTAATGTTTTAAACATTGCATTCAATAATGGCACTGTCTCCCTATTATCTCCCAAAGAATTATAAAAGCAGCTTGTGAATTATATGCACAGGCAGAAATAAAAGAAAATATAAATTAGACATAAAGTGAAAATAAGAGTAGGAAATGAACTTAGAGTCTAGAGGGAAGATGGTCTATAAAAGGCCAGGAAGGGGGCCCTGGAGGCTTCCTAAAGGTGAGCCACAGGTGGGTCCTGAGCCTCCGGCAGTTTATGGTAACACGGAAAAGTGGTCACCTACGTGGCTCACGGTATAAAGAAGATTAAAGGAGGCTGAGAAGCACAACCATCCTTAGAGACCAAGGGAATAAAAATTTCCACGGTTCTGCTAGAAAGAATGCTGGGTAATGTAAACAACAGGTTTATTTCCTTCCGTGAGCCTCAGTATAACCAACGGCATCTGGCTGACATAATTGTAAAGCAAACTCAGGGTTACCAATAGACTGCCAAGTTCACAAAGGAAGGAGAATTTGTTAAAGATTTTATCTATTTATTTTTAAAGAGAGGGGAAGGGAAGGGGAAAGAGAGAAAAATCAGTGTGTGGTTGCCTCTTGAGCACCCCTTAATGGGAACCTGGCCCTAAACCCAGACATGTGCCCTGACTGGGAATCAAACCTGTGATCCTTTGGTTGGCAGGCCAGCACCCAATCTACTGAGCCACATCAGTGAGGGCTGGGATAAGAATTTTTTTTTAATCATTTTCAGAGATAAAAATGCTTATATTTTAACTTAAAATAACAATTACTTATTTATGGAAATTGTTTAGTTGGTTTCAACAGAAAAAATTATTAGTTTAAATTGATTAAATTTCTAGAAATTGATTTTTTTTAAACCAAGATGAAGTCCTCTGCTCTCCAGGGAATTGAAGTGAACCAGGAAGAACTGCATTTTCAACAAGCCAATTAAATTCTTATAAAAATATAAAGCAGAATTATATTATTGGGGGAGAGCTCAAGAATCATTTTACCCCCACCTTGACCTTGAATTTAGGGTTCTGCCTTTCCTTCCCAAGGCTGAGTCTACGCTAATTTCACCTTCAACAGAAATGTGAGCTCCCGTGAAGAGTTCTGGATCACTGGATCACTGGATCTCTGGATCACTACTGCTGGGCAAAAGTAGCTCAATGTTAGGGCCCCCAGGATGCGGATTCAGTAACTTGTTGAAAGAGCAGAACACAAAAGACAGCCACGTTACTGGATGTGGCTGAACAGGAATGTGAACAAAACACATTCATTCAGCAAGCACTAACAGACTGCATGCTGTGTGGCAGGCAATGTTCTACAGATGTGGCAGTGGAGAGAAGCTGCGTACTGATATTTGAACGCAGTGTTACTTTCCTTAAGAGCAACTATAAACAATCATTAACTGAGCATGTATTTATGCCCTAGGCACTGTGCTTTAGGCATTGAATGAGTATGTCATTGAATTTAATCCTCATAAATTCTCACCTTCACACAGGAGGTAACAGCCATTTTTTATGACAGCTTTATTGAGATACAACACACACCATCACCATTTTAAAATGTACAACGCAGTAGCTTTTAATACATTCTCCCTGTTGTGCAATCATCGCCACTACCTAGTTCCAGAACATTTTTATCACCCCAGAAAGAAACCCAGCACCAATTAGCAGTCCCTTCCCGTTTCCTCCTCCCTCCAGCCTGTGGCAACTAGTACCCTGCATTCTGTCTTTACAGATTGGCCTATCCTGCACACCTCGTCTGAACAGAATCACACAATATGCGGTATTTTTATGTCTGGTGTCTTTCACTTGGCAGACTGATTTCAAGCTTCATTTGTGTTGTGTGATATATCTGTATGTCATTCATTTTTATGGCTGAATATTATTATTCCATTGTACAGATATATCATATTTTGTTTAGTCATCTGATGGACACAGGGGCTGTTTCCACTTTTGGGTTATATATGCTTCCAGCTCTCTCGGGCAATAGAATTGCCCCGTAGAATATGTATGTATGTTTTCCATCTGAACGATCACTGTCACACAGTGTGCTTGGAGTAACTGAAAAGCTTGGTGCTGTCCTACTCAGCGATGGTCAGACCAACCAGCCCCGTGCCCTGTTCTAGTCCTATCCACCGCACTTTACACATCAACACATACAGATCTTCCAAGGTGAGAGACCGAGATGTGAAATGGCAAACATCCCATGAGGAATCGGTAAAAGAGTAGAGAATGCCTTCTCCGGAAAAGAGAAGACCCAGAGAAGGACATGATAACAACTCGCCCATGCCCTGATACTTTACACATGGGGAAGGCATTATCTACTCAGTCCCCAGGATTTGAAATTATGGCCAGTAGTGGGAATCATAAGTGGACAGATAAAGCTGCCTAAAGAAATGTTTGGTTGGAGACTCGGAGACTGTCTAGGAAGGAATTCTGTAGAGGGATTCTGACAACTGGACTCGGGATTGGGCAACGTACTCTTCCAACTATTTTTGGCAGCCTTGGCCCTTCTCTGGAGGACAGAGATGTCATCGTTCTGATACAAAATCAAACTTCCACATCTCTCAATCCCCACCATGAGAATCTGGAAAGATCAACAGCCAAAGCAAAGTAGATTTAACAACATGAATCTGAATAAAAATGGTACTACAAGAACAAACAAAAGTAAAACATGGATGAGAAGTTAGAGGCCCATTCTGGAAAACATGACCTTCATCGACCCATGTTAGCCTGCTTGGAAGAAAAACAGCATCATTAAGTGCTAGTGCTAACATGTTTGGATAAAACACACAGCTGCTCCAATTTCTCAAGTAGAATTGCAAAGAACGGCTACAGACAAACATGTCTTTTAGTTCTGATTGCCTATAAAAGTCCCTATAAATTGAGGGCAAACTGCATACAACACGACAGAGCTGGAAGTGTCCACAAAGCAACAAATTCCCCAAGATGCCAGCCAAATCACCAGAAACAGATAACAAACCCAATGTTCTTTTCATTGTTCATGCTGGGAAACACCGAGAATGAAAGACCCCAATAAAAGAGCTTGATTGCCTCACCAGGCTGCCTAGAACTAGGAGGAGCCATGGTCACTCCCAGGATGACCTCTTCTGCAAAAGGTCACTGAAGATGCCAAAACACTCACTTGTACCATGCGAGGCACGGTCAAAATGAAGTGTAGCTTTGCGATTCTGCCAACTACAATTTCTTTATCCCCCACTCCTGAGAAAATTTTGGCACTGAAATAGTTACTTTTTAAAAATATAATAAAACAAAGGAAAACAATGTATAAACTGTTTATCCATGCTATCACTTTGACAAATCTCTTCTAGTCAAAAGAAATAAGACTTTTTAAAAAATCTTGGTTAAGAAACATTTACCAAGGACCTTTAGAGGTGAAAGTTACAGAAGAAGCTCCTAAATTTAGGGCATTTCCTCAGTGACTCATGTCAGATGTGCGGGATCCACCCTCCAACTGGCCTTGCTCAAAGCCAGGCTTTCTCTTTCCTTCACACCAAATACACATGGTTTTAAAGCCCTCTGTGTCACTTGCTATCGATAGGTATGAAAGAAAATTCTGAATCTGGTGTGATGGTCAAGAGCATAGGCTTTATGGCACATGTCCTGGCTTAACATCCTGACACTGCCACTTAGAGGCTTGTAAGACTTTGGCCACATTGTGTGTTTTTGCCTCAGTTACTTCATCTATAAATTGGGAACAATAGCACCTAGCGTTGTTTTGAAAGTTGTGTGTGGTTAATGTGTGTGAAGGACTTGGAATAATGTGTCTTTGCAAATTTCATTCAAGGACATGGAGACATTACGCATTTGCTCCTATATGCCAGGTTGTTCCAAGTAGTTTAAACACGTGAACCCATTTAACCCTCACAGATATCTATGAGGTCAATGATATTATTTTCCCCATTTTACAAATAAATCAACTGAAGCACAGAGAGGTTAAGTAACTTGACCAAAGTAATTTAGCTAAGTTAGTGCTGCAGCTGGAACTCAAACTCAGGCATGCTGGCTTCAGAGTTTATTTTCTTAACCACTCGTCACATTATACCATCTCTCAGTGTTTGTAAGCATTTCCTTGAACAGAGGCACTCTGAATGTTAGTGTACATGTGTAATTCTGTGATTTATAAGAAACATATACAGGGTCCAAAAGTGGGGCTCAGAGCTCCCCAAACCCTTGGAATCTCCTGAGGGGTAAGAGCAATAGAAGCATCTTTCATTATAATATTTGAAATCCTGAAAATGTTCCAGAGCCCTAAAAGTGAAACGGGTATTTTTCTTTCATAATAACCCCCTTTCCCCATCTTGGTTTACATAACGAGGTGACTGTTGGAAAACACCTTAGGGTGGGCACTGGTTGCCAGAGGAACAAACCATGACGAGAGGAATATATTTTCACTCCCACCTCCTGATTTCCTGGAAGGGGAGAAGGGCCGAAAGTTGACTCAATCGCCAATGGCCGATGAGTGAATCAATCCTATCAATGTACTGTGGCCTTCATAGAAACCCAAAAAGTGGGGGTTAGGAGAGCTTCCAGGCTGGGAACTATAGTACTTCAATGTGTCAGACCCCAAACTTCAGGAGGACAGAAGCTCCTTTTCCTCAGACCTCTCTCTCTATCTCTTCATCTTGCCATTGATTTGTACCCTTTACTATCCCTTGTAGTAAATTAGTAATCTAGTAAGTAAATGGGTTTCCTGAAATCTGCCAGCTGCTCTAGAAACAGAACCCAAAGAAGTTGTGGGAACCTCTGATTTACCGTCAGTAGGTTAGAAGCACGGGTGACCGCCTGGGCTGACAACTGGCATCTGAAC